AAGCAGTGAGACCAGTTAGGACGCTGCTGCAGGGATTCAGGTGAGAGATGATGGTGGTTTGGACCAGGGTGGTTGCGCTGGATGTGATGAGAAGTGGATGGATTCTGGATGTACAGGTATCCCCCACTTTTCAAAAGTTTGCCTTACGCCACTTTGCTTTTAAGAAAGACACACATCACTACCTGTTTTCGCCAACTGAGAGAAATCCGAAGAGGATTTTTGCTTTTATTTATTTTTTCTAAAAGGGGTAAAAAAGTGAAAACATCATTCAGCATTTGTTTGGCAGCGAGCAGTTACAGAGACAGCAAGCAGCTAGAGCAGCCTGGCCAAGCGCTTTCCTGGGGAACTGCTCTCAGCAGCTCAGCATCAAGTCACTGTAGCTCGGAGCTGTGTCTGTGAGCCTCTGTGCTTTATCTCCATTTATTTTGTGCATTCGTTAGCAAGATGTGCCCTGAGGTATCAGAAAAGCCTAAGAGAGGTTATTTTGGGGGTCTGGGAACGCTCGAAGATTTTTTCTTACACATTAACGGTAATTGCTTTTTTGCCATTTCAGCTTCTGAAAGGTTTCAGAGGAACCTGTATTTTTGAAGAGAGAGTCACTAGATTTGCTGACAGAATGGATATGAGGTGTGGTTCCAAGGCTTTTTGGCCAGAGCCACTGGAAAGGTGAATCTGCCATTGACTGAGATGAGGACAACCTTAGGAGTGTCCATTCTGGGGGGCGGGGGGGGGGGGCGGAGATCAGACGTGCAGATTTGGACATGTTGAGTTTGAGATGTCTATTAGACCTCCAGATGGAGATGAATAGTAAACACCGGCACTGAGGTGCTCAAAGTTAGAGAAATGGAAATGTGGAAGCAGATCGTTACAGTCCCCGTGAGAAGTGCTGTTTCAGAGGGGTGTATGGAAAAGCAAGTTATTGACTCTCCTTGTGCGGGGAGGACTTAAGAAGAGTTTCACGAAGGAGATGACATTTCTAGTTTGGTCCTGAAGGGTGATTAGGTGTCCATCAGGTAGTGAAAAGAGAGAGGCGTCTCGCCTTCTATATTCTTAGACCCTGGCACACACCAGTTGCTCAGTCAGACCCAACCCAGTCACGAGTCGTGTGACCTTGAACATGCTCTGAGCTTTAGCCTCTTGACTTGTGAGATGGATATAATCATAGGGTTTTTGTGAGGATTAAATGTAAAACACTTCGCACATTCTCTGGTACACAACGGGTTAGGGTTAGTTATTTAGTTATTTGGTTAGTTACCAAGTCTAGGCTAGGCTGGTAACCCTGGAGCTTGAAGTCTTTTATATGCTCAGCAGTTTGACAATATTGACAAAAAGAGTGCTAGACTCTTCGCCACATCCTAAAAGTGGCTCAGGAAAAAAGCCCCCTGTAGCCTGGGCCCTCTGCAACGCTCTGATTGAGGAATAAGCATTGCGAAGCCTAGAGAGAATGGAGAGGGTCAAACATGCCTTCCCCATGGCCCATCCCTACTGACTGGTTCTCACTCACTCGCTCGCTCTCTCTCCCTCTCGCTTTCTCTCTCCATCCCTCCCTCCCTCTCTCTCTCTTTCATCTTTTCATTTTTAATGAATATGAGTAAAATCCCTTTAGAATCATAGTGAGCTTCTCCCCACTCACTCCAGAGAGACTCAGACTGGACTGGGTTGGCGAGGCTGGGAGGACGCGGTCAACCCTGAGACGCTTTGACGCTTGGCACACCCTCGCAACTGCTAGAGCCTGAGGCCCCAGGGAGACAGGCGCCCCCTACAGGTCCAAAGCAGCCCCGCGCCCCTGCAGGCGGCTGTGGTTGCTAGGCAACCGGGCGGCCTGCGCAGAGACTGAACCCACCAAGGAGTAGTAAGCAAGGGGATCCAGGAGGAGGGGAGAGACCATTTCTCACCCCATCCATCGTCTCTCTGGTGCCCTCAGCAAAATGACCCGGTTGGGGCAGGGCGGCCTGCTGCTGCCTGATAATCCGGGCTCATTCTTGAAGGTGGAGCTGTGTACAAAGTAGACAGATTTTGTGTGTGGAGAAACAATCAGCCTTGCCCCAAAGCCCTCTGGTCTCACCTGGGAGCTGGAGATCTGGGTCGCTTGAAGGCAGAAATTTCTGGTTTACAAGTAAGGGGGCTGTGGGGGTGCATCCTTGGTGAATGGGAATTCTAGCAAATTGGGTGTGGGTGGGAATGATGTTGGTGAGTAGTTCAGTAAAGTATCAAGATTTTCCCACCATTACCAATGTATGGATTAGGGAGTTCCTACTTTATTTTTTTAAAGATTGTACTTATTTATTTGAGAGAGAGCACACGGCGGGGGGGGGGGGGGGTGCCGAGGGAGAGGGAGAAGCAGACTCCCCGCTGAGCAGGGAGCCTGATGTGGGGCTCGATCCCAGGACCCTGAGATCAGGACCTGAGCCGAAGGCAGATGCTTAATGGACTGAGCCACCCAGGCACCCCGGGAATTCCTACGTTAGCCCATTGAAATAAAAAGTCTCCACAGAAATGACGATATTCATATCTTGGTAGAGACAAGTTTCTCAGTGGCTTTCCTGAACTAGGTTTCTCTATGGAGTTGGGAGAGATCCTGAGGTCGGTTGACCCCTGTGAGTAGGGATCGAGCCCAGCAAGAAGGAAAGAAAAAGAAGAATCGGCAGGTGGTAAACACAGAATTCAGCAGTTTCCTAGTGCTGTGTCTAGTTTGGGGCTAGCAAGTCTCAGATCTGTTGCCCCCTCTCTTAGGACCATGCTGAAGCACCCCATCCTTATGAGGGCCTGTGGGGACCAGAAATCCACAGCTTCCCTTCCTAGTCATCTAGTATTCTAGCCCAAGAGTGGGTCCAGGCAGGCCAAGGCTGTAGCCACAATGACTGTTCTACTTGGGACTCTTGCCTTCACTCTCAGCTAGTACAACAGGAGTTTCACTGTGGCCGAACCCCACGCCACAGCAAACTGAGGGGACAGCTGTGCCCAGGAGTCTTGTTGTGGGCCTTCCCTCAGGAGTTCCAAGGTAGAGATACCAAGCGGAGGTACTGGTAGCCAGAGAGGTACTGGGTCAGCCCCTGCCTCAGTCCACAAGGTTTCCACAGGGCACGGCGACAGAGGGAGGCTCCTTGCTCCCCGTGCTTCCAAACTGAACTGGGTCGGGGCTGTGCCTCAGCTCTATTAATAGCCCCCTAGCCCAGCCTGCTAGCCCCAAACCCGGATGCCAGGAGCTGTGAGTCAGCAGCTAAAAATAACGGAGAGCGACTGCACCCCAACCCCAACGAGCAGCTCCCTGAGGCCCTCCACCCTCACGTTTCGGTCAGTCCCAGTCCCCAGTAGAGGGCCTCCTAGAAGTTCAGTGTGCCGTAGCTGTCCAGTCCTCCTGGGAAGACGGTAAGGATAGGCGGTGGCAGGCTCAGGGCCGAGGGAGGACTCAGGGGCCCGGGCCTGTAGGGTCTGGGACTAGGTCCTGGCATTCTGGCCCCGAGTCTGGACTCCGAGGTGACACGACTGCAGCTGAGAGCCTGGGAGCGAAGAAGTTGAGGCCGCGGGGGATTGTCAGGACTGGGTCGGAAGGGGAGGGGGAGGAAGAGGCTGCTTGGCTGCGAGGCCGGACGCCGGGGAGGGGACAGAAAAGCAGGGGTGCGGGGTGGAGGTGCGCGCCGAGAGGCGAGAGCCTGGCAGTACCTGACAGGCTGGCCGCCCCCGGAGCTGAGGCCGGCGATCGGTCAGATTGAGGGGCGGATCGGGAACCGGGAAAACTAAGGAAATGCAGCTTGAAAGGGGAGTGTGTGAAGGAGACCTGGCCGCTACGCGGCGGCGCGGACGCCCCAGGAGACTGGGACCGGACAGCGGCCGCGGCGTGGGCTCCCGACGCGCCTACCTCCTCCCCGCCCATCGCGCGCTGGCGCCCCCCTCCCACCGCGCCAGCTGCAGGCCAGGTATGTTGGCTTGGACCGCGGCCCGTGTACGTATGTGCGTGTGTATGCATGGCGGGGGCGGGGCGGTGAGAAGGGAAGGGGCGGGGCCCGGCAGGAGGAGGGGGCGGGAATACAAATTCAAACTCGCTTCCGTCAATCCCGAGACCGGAAGCGGTCAGGGGTCTTTTGGGAATTGTAGTTCCCGGGGGCTGCCTTGCAATCGAGCAGGGTCGTGTCCCGAGGGGCTGGTGCGGCCCCCCCACCCCTCCCTCCCGCCGGGTCCCAGTCTGGCGAGAGGAGAGGAATTGAGAACCGAACCTCCTGACCTCGCCAGCGTCTTAATTCGATTTCCCTTCGTGTGGAGACACGAACCGGGGGGAATGTTGGTGCGGTGGGGGACTGAAGAGGCAGCCACAGAACCCGCTCCGGTCCCCGGTTTTGCCTTGGCCCCTCCCTCCCCCTTCTACCGGACTCCTCATCCTAGGTCAGCTCCTCACTGGTCTCCTTAACTGATTTAGCCCAGGACCTCCCGAGCAGCACATACACTGGGGAACTTGTTCCTCGAGGGGAAGGAGGGCCTGGGGACCAGACCCTGCGCGCAGCAGCTCAGAGAGGCGAAAACTTGTGGAAATCTTGTGGAAATCGGATTATACCCTCAGGGTCTAGAGTCAAGGACACAGGTCCCCAACCGGCACGGAAAACAGGTGGCATTCAGACGTCACGGTGACGACTGACGCGGCCTTCTTCTTGCGGCAGGTGACCACAAGGTGGAGCTACAACGCAACTCTGCGCAGCGTGCCTCGGCCACCCAGAGTGTCCCCCGCGGGGGCTGCTCTCCTGCTTCCCCTCTTGCAGCCCTTCGTCGTCCCAGGTGGTCCTCCCGCCTCCAGCCCAAGATTCTCGCCCGTGATGACCCCTCAGTGTCATGTCACATTAGACCGGGATGGAAGGTGCATCCCCCACCAAGCCCCCCCCCGCGCTGAAAAGATCAGACCACGACCAAACGGGAGTTAAATTTATTGAGTAACAGATTAACAACATAGGAGGAGCCAACCTGTCTTGAAGAAAAGGCTGTGAACAGCAAAAAGCCACCTATAGGCGCAGAATTAAATGGCTACATGGGCTCTTCAGCCCCCAGCATCTAGGCAGGAAAGCAGTTAAATTGCAGGGGTCAGGAGAGACAGTGAATGGAGTGGGATTGGTGTTTCCATCATCTTAGTTCTCCAGGAAAGGCCGTTCTGTCATCTCCTCCAGTCATTGGTCCAAGCTAGTCGATCCCTGACACACCCTGTGCCTTCTACACAAGAACACGTGTACGCAGATCTGAAACATTATTGTGGCAACCTCCTTCCCACTTTCTCTGTTCTAGTTTCATTTCGGGAGAAACTTCCCGTGACTCACGGTCTTCCCAATGACCTCAGGTCAAAACCCCAAGGGGGAGCCAGACTCCATGGAAGCTTGCCGCATGCCCTCATAGTTCAAAACCTTCCGTTGGCAAAGTTTACCCCACCCCATCCCCACTCAGCCACTCTCCCTTCCTTGTGGTTAGTCAATCCAGACAGGCCTCAGACTCTGGTTGGTGGGGGTCCAGGGTTGGGCATTCACTCCATTATGAAATTGTTGATCCTGGTCAGCAGCACTGCTGTTTCTAAGCCTAGAGCAGGGGGTGGGGAGAGGGGAGGACATATAGGGAGTGACCAAAGGGCAGACTAGAGGAAGAGAGAAATGAGGTGAGGGAGGACGTTCTTACCAGTTTTCTCTCTCTCCTTCTTACATCTCCTAAAGGGAGAAAAGCTTCCCATTATGAGTTCAGCCGGCCTCGGCCATGACCCTTTGATCCCTGGTGCCCCCAAACTGCCTTTCCCCAAGCCAATTTGGCGTGGAAGGAAGGGTCTCAGAATCTCAAAGGCACCAAACAGACCCAACCCCACGCTCCGGGCAGCATACGTGGGTCTGAATCAGCCACGTCACCGGGACCCTGGGGGAGAATGCAGACCCGGAAAGCTGAGGTGTGAAGTGCTCACCCTTGGAGGAGGAAGGTCCACAGAAGCAACAGGGTAGAGACACAGTTGGTGATGATCCACATCATAAGGTAGGTTTGAGGGGGCTACGGGAAGAGGAAAAGGCACCTGTCGGTGACCAGAGCACCAAAGGTAGTATATGGGGTGGCGGGGGTGGGGAGTGGAATATGTAAGGAAGAGAGGGCCAGGGATAAGGAGGAGCAGGGACGGGGGAGGAAGGGGTGGGCTGACAGTCCCAGAGCCCTTACGATGATCCAGACAGGGTAACGCATCTGCTGCAGCAACTGGCAGTCATTGGTGGTGACCGAATCCACCCCTGCGCACCAGAGCAGGGAAAAGAGCCAAGGCTTGTTCACCACAAATAGGTTCACCGAGACATTATCCTGGTGTAGTGCCCTGTGGAGGTGGGAAACAGGAATATCCAGGATCACGGGGCACGAGGCACAGGAGGCAGCCCCCGTCCACGCTTGACTCTACAGTGTTGCTGCCGAGGAACTATCAGTTCGATCTTTACATACAGCCCCTGACCATCAGTGATTTTCTTTGCATGGCTGAACTTTGCCTCCTGGTGGATCCCACCTCCGGATCCTAGCTTTGCCATCTGGGGCCGCACAACTGTGTCTCTCTTCTTTGTCCCATGACAGCCCTTCGGAGGTCTGGGGAGCAGGTGAGCATGTCTCCGAGTCACCTCCTCTGCAGGCCCGACAGCCCCAGCTCCCTTAACCAAGGCCCGGGGACCTGGCTTCTCCTTCCCTTCGCCATCCAAACCTCGCCCAAGCTGATCTTGCTTCAGTTTCTCAGTGTTCCTTTCGAAGTGTGGGGGCTTGCATCTGAACATGATATCCCAGGTGGGCTTGGCCCAGCTTTGAGTACAGCAAAAACTCCTCTTGGCTTCTGGGCATGATGCCTGCATGCAGGCAGCCCGGGGTCGGGTTCGTTTTGGCAATGTCACAAGCCACTGATGACTCATTATGCACACTATTCAGTCAAAGCCCTGGTCTCTCTCGCACATGTTCCTGCTGAATGCCAGTATCTCCTCTCTCGGCTTTGTGCAATTGAGCTTCCTTTGGACTGCAAATAGAGGTCTTTACATCTATCCTTGTGTTTCCTCTTGGTACATTTGGTCCATCGTCTTAGCGCGCGTAGGCCTTTCGGGGCCTTGATTTCATCACCAGTGTATTCATTACCAATTCATGTCTTTTGGAAACATGATCAGCAGTTGAGGTTGACTAGGACAAGACTAAAGGGAGGGCCAAAGCCAATGTCGTGTCGTGACAGCTCGGGGAAAGGTCCTTAAAATACTTGCGATGACTGGGCTATCATTCAGGCCACGTTTTTTTTTTTTCCCTGCCTGACCGCAGGGACCTTATAAGAGACCTTGGCAATGGCATGCTTTGCCGTCCATCCTGTTTACTGGCTGGGTCAGCTTCCGGGGCCCAGCTCACATCCGGGACTCTCTTGCCTCTCTCCCCTGGACCCCTCCTCTCTTGCTCTTACTTATCTCTGTGGTGAAGAAGGAAAGCTAAATCTGTTCTTGTGGCCTACAAGGTCCTACCCAGTTTGGCTCCTGCCCACCTCCCCAGCCTCACATTCCCCTTGATTCGGCTGCTGTCCCTGCTCCTCTTGCAGCTCTTCTCAGCATTCACTAGCTCCTTGTGACCGCGACCGGTCAGGTCTCAGCCCAGATAGCACCTCCTCTTTAATGACTTTTCCTAATGTGGCCCCTCTCGAGCCCTCACTCCCAAGCCTAATTGCTCTACTTCATCTCCCCGTTTTCTTATCTTCATATCACTTATCACTACCCAATACGCATGTAATTCGTTCGGTTTGTTATCTGTCTCTTTGTATGTGTGCCCAAAGCCTGCAACAAAGAGTGCCTGACACAGAGCGAGTGTTAAATATATTGATAAATATTTGTTGTATGCGTGAATAAATGAATGGCTTTTGCCCTCCCTGAGGTGGCGCTACCCTGCCATGAAGCTTCCTGGGATCCCCTTGGCTCCTTTCCCCGGACACTCACTTGATATCCAACAGTGGCAGATCTTGGTAGGGGAGGTTGAGAAACTGGGGTCTCTCAGTTCTGTTGCTTCCCTGCTGTCCATATATCTGGCGCATCCTGGGTGCCCGTTGTTGGACATTGGCCCGATCTTCATCTGGTAGCCAAAGGACCTGTGGTTCGGAGAAGATAGCTGTGAATCTGGGGAGAGCTTGGGGATTCCAGGGGCAGGGGCAGGGGCAGGGGCAGAGAGGTCCGACCACAGAAGGGGGTATATGAGTTGGGGTAGGACCCTGGGGCAGGGGGCCACCTCAAAATGATCACCATGGCCTCGGGAAGGCAGGGGCTGGGGAGAGGGGCAAGAGGGAGCACTTGGGGTCCTGGCAATATCACCATGGCTTGGGGCACCCTCGCGCTCAGCACGGTCTCCAAGGTCTGGTTCACAAATGTGTCATGGTATGTGTGATTTCGTGGGGGGCGGCGCAAGTCAAACATGATGGAAAGGTTAAGGACTGCGGCTTCCTTTAGCAGCTCTTCCAGCGTTGGTACTGACTGGTTCTCAGCCTCCTTCCGATCAGGGCCTGATAGCCGCTTGGCCCCCCAGAAGGGTTGCCTCTATAAGAACAGGAAGGTTATTTCAAGATCAGAAGGAGCCGTTAGGCCATTGCCCCATCCTTCCCGTTTTCACTCATTTCCCCTACTTGGCGCCCAGCTTCTGTGCACCTCTGAGCCACGGTCTTTCTTTCTTCCAACTGTGGCCCTTTCCAGACCGTCTAACACCTTACTCTGTGACCCCCCAACCTCCTCCCCTCCCAGTTTCCTAACTTCCTCTCTCCCGCTACATTTTCTCTTTGGCCTTGCAGAGACCTCTGGGGTCTTGGCCCCTTGGTTTCCTCCCGGTCCATCAGCCCCTTTCTGCCACACCTACGTCCCCTACCCTTGGTCCGTCCACGGCTTGAATTACTTTTCCATAGCATCCTCAACTCTATTCCTGCCCTGCCTGCCCCCCCCCCCCCCCAATCTGGAACTCTGATTCAACTCTATAATTGTCTGCCTCCTCCAGCCTTAAAACTGGGGAGCAGAGCACATCGTGTGGACTGTCGCTATAGTCCTTTTTCACCTTCAGTGCCACTTCATCATCCTTTTTTTTTTTTTTTTAAAGTAAGCTCTACGCCCGACATGGGGCTTGAACTCATGATCTTGAGAGTCGCATGCTCTGATGACGGAGCTAGCCAGGCGCCCCACTTAACCATCCTTTTCCTTGTTCTTGTTTTGCTCCTTCTTCCATTCCTGGTGGCTCTTCCAAACCTCTGCCACTCTCCTCTCCTCCCCTTGTAATCAACAAACGCCCTTACCTCCTAATCACCAACATGGACAAAGCAAGCAATCTAATACCTATTAAGTATTGACTTATGTGCCAGGTGGTGTTAGAAGTGTATTAATTTGGGGTGCCTGGGTGGCTCAGTCGTTAAGCGTCTGCCTTCGGCTCAGGTCATGATCCCAGGGTCCTTGGGTCGAGCCCCGCATCGGGCTCCCTGCTTGGCGGGAAGCCTGTTTCTCCCTCTCCCACTCCCCCTGCTTGTGTTCCCTCTCTCGCTGTGTCTCTCTGTCAAATAAATAAATAAAATCTTAAAAAAAAAAAAGAAGTGTATTAATTTATTTAATTGTCCCAATAATCCTACAGGATAGGTCCTGTTTTGATGCCTATTTTACAGATGAGGAAAATGAAGCCCAGAGAGACTAAGGAATGTTGCTCAGGCTCACACAGCTAGTAGGTGGTGAAGCCAGGAGTCAAACCCAGACACCCCTGGTCTTAATCCCTCTGATATGTCATCATACATAGAGTTCAGTGAAAAACCAATCAAGGGCCGCCTGGGTGGCTCAGTCAGTTAAGTGTCTGCCTTCATTCAGCTCAGGTCATGATCCCAGGGTCCTGGGATCAAGTCCCATATCGGGCCCCCTGATCAGTGGGGAGCCTGCTTCTCCCTCTGCCGCTCTCCCTGCTTGTGCTCTCTCTCTCTCTGACAAATAAATCAATCAAATCTTTAAAAAAAAAAAAAAAGAAAAACCAATCAAAGTGCAAAGGAATATATGAAGTGATCCTATTTGTGCAAAATGAAAAGTACGTGTGTGTACATACGTGTGTGTACATGTATGTATGTATATATATGGACATATGGAATACATACCCAACTGTTAGCAACGAATATCTCAGAGGAGTTGGATTATGGGAGACTTTTCAAACGTTTAGGTTATTTCTCTAATGTTTAATTTTTTATGAGGAACGTGTATTCCTTTTATAATCAGGAAAAGAGGAACTGAGAAAATAAAGTACCCTTAATGAATATTTTTTGTCACCTACAGGACTGAAGCCTGAACTGGGGCCGGCATTCAGAGCCCTTCGAGACCAAGCCCCTGCTCCCCTTGCCAGTCTCACCTCTTACTACTCCCATGAATTTTATCTCCCACTTGCACTGAGCCACTTTTTGTCTCCTGGAAACACTTCTTCATACCTCTGCGCTTTGCATATGCTCTTCCCTCTGACTAGAGTTGTCAGTCCCTGCTTTGCCCACTTAAAAACCATTGTCATTTCATGTGCTGCTCAGGCCTTCTCTCTTGTGAAACCGCTCCTGATCCTCTCCCACGCCCACCGTGCCAAACAGTGGCTTTGCCAAACAGCGGCTTTGCCAAACAGCAGCTTTGCTCTCTCTCCTCTCTGTTTACTTTCCTACCTACTTATTTATTTATTTATTTGAAGATTTTATTTATTCATTTGAGAGAGAGAGGGGGAGAGCATGAGCAGAGGGGAGGGGCAGAGGGAGAGTGAGAAGCAGACTCCCCGCTGAGCAGGGAGCCCTGACACAGGGCTCCATCCCAGGACACCCCCCCACACCCCGGGATCATGATCTGAGCCCAAGGCGGGCGCTTAATCATCTGAGCCACCCAGGTGGCCTCTCTCTTCTCTATTTCGTAAAGCTCTTGTGATCGCTCTAGTTTTCCTATGCTTACAGCCTATTGGCTCAGCTCTGTCCTGTCCTTGGAGGGAGTGACTTGCGGGCAGAGACTGGATACCTATTGCTCAGCACAGGGCTCAGAAAATACTTATCGATGAATGAACTCTCCGCTCCCCCCCACAAGTGCCCCTACAGGTGGTTGCCTCTTCTGTGAGGCTGTCTTCACCTCTAGGAACCAGGTCCCGGCATTGAGCTTCTTCAGTTCAGCGCAGGAGAAGTCGCTGCTGTGGGAGGAGGTTCGGGCTGGGAACACAGAGGCCACATCCGTGGTGCGGCTCAGGTGCTCATCATGCATGAGGAAGGGGATCCCGTCAGAGCTGAGGGCACAAGGCGGGGGTCAGAGGGCTGAGCTCTGGGACTGCTCATCACTTCCTGAGCTCCCCTGCTGCCTCCCTCTGCCCCCCCCCAGCTTCTTTCACCTGACCATCACGTCGGTCTCAAACACAGCAGCTCCACATTCAGCGGTCTTCCGCAGGGACATCAGGGTGTTCTCGGGGGCCAGCTGGGCAAGGGAATTGACAGGGAGGTAGCAGAGAAGGGTGGGAGCCTGGGAACCCACAGGCCCGATCGCTGCAGCCTGGAGGAGCAGACCCATCCCACCCAACACTCACCATGGGGGCCCCTCGGTGTCCCACCAGACCAGGCTTGGGGGGTAAGTCTCTGGGCTCCATGATACAGGGTGAGGAGATGCATAGTGGGGCCAGGTAGACGGCCAGGGAAACTCCAAAAAATAGGAACAGGAGCAGAGTCTTGGGACCTGTGGGGCACGGGGGAGAGGCTATGGAGAAAGGGCAGTGGGTGAGCTCTGGCGGGGGGAGCGGGCAGAGAGCCGAGTACAGGTGCAGTAAAACAGAAGTGGCGATGGCCAGTGGGGGTACGTCGGGGAGTGGAGGTGGCACCTCTTCGACGGACACGGTAGAAGGTAGCAGCCACAGGCCAGGCCAGGAGGGTGACACCAGCAACTGCTCCGATATGCAGGAATGGGGCTGTGGCCTGGGGACAAGAAGCGGTGAGGAGGGTTCTTCGCCCTCGCGCCCCTCCCCTCCGCCTCCTAGGACCTGAGTCCGGAGCTACTTGTAGCTCTGGGGACCAGGGGGTTGGACGCAGGCCAAGGTTCCCACCTAGTTCCCCGGAGATCAGTCACTCACCTGCAGTGACAGACGTAAGCTACGCCATTCCTGCTGCCATTGGACGTCCAGTCCCACAAGGCCAGCGGCCACAAGAAGCATAATGAGCAGCAGCAGCATCTGGGGGAACCAGGGACGGACGGGGCCTTCTTGGTCAACCCGGGCTCTGCCCCGCCCCCGCCCCTGCCCCCGCCCCACTCTCTGAAAACAGGACCATTTCTTTCCCCCTGACTCATCCCCATTCCTTCTCTCACTCAACACGTATTTACTAGGCTTCACGTCCTGAGCTTGAGTCCGCGCGTAGGATACTAGGGTGCTCGGCAAAGACCTGGCCCAGGGCCCCCCTCTGCCCGCTCACTCCCATCCCCACTGTACCTTGTGGACACTGTGCAGATGCAGAGGCTGACCACAGAGCCGCAGGAGCAGGGCCAGGAGCTGGAGGCAGAGGGCGGTGGCAGGAATGAGGCACCCAGCGGGGTCGCTGAGATGCGCTTCCCAGGCTGATGCCTCCCTCCTGCCCTCCCCTCAGTGGCCAGGGGGCGATGCTGAACAGGAAGGGAGGAATTAACGGGGTGGGGGGGTGGTTAGGCGGGCTGCTCCCCGACCCACCAATAGCAGGGATGCATATGTGACAAGTAGAGAGATGACCAGCAGAAATGCCAGGGACCAGTCCATCCAGTGTCCCCAGTGGTGGAACAGGAATCTGTGGGAAGGGAGAGGAAAATGTCTGAGTGGGGGCAGGGGTGTGAATAGTGGCCTGAGGGGAGTTGGCGTGGGTGGGTCCAGAAGGATGACCAGAAGGGAGTGAGGGGAAGCACTTCATGGGGCCAGGGGTCCCAAGGACTGGGGGCCGGGGGGGTGGGGGGGGACTCCGTGGAGGAATTTTCTAAGGAGGTTGGGTACCAGGACAGCTGGGCAGGGCTGGGGATGACTGAGCCCCCAGGGGTCCCAAGGTGGGGCAGAGATTAACATGGATGCTGAGGAAGGAGGGGGTCCATGACACACTCATTGAAGTTGTGCAGGTCATTGAGAAGGATGAGCCCGATGTACAGCCAGCCCAGGGAGAGGAGAAAGGTGAGGAAGAGCAGGCCAAACCAGATACAGTCGCACTGCAAAGGGGCAGGAGAGAAGCTCACAGCCGATCCCCACTTCCAGCTCAGAGTCCCCAACGGATGGCAGCTCAGTGGGGCTTCCTGCCAGGCGTTGGGCTGCTCTGCTCTGCCCGGCAGACAGGGACAGATTTTCTTCCTGGGGAGAGAAAGCCCCTTCCCCCCAGCTGCCTCTGAGCACACTTGGCCTCCTTATCCCCTCCAGGCGGCCTCTGCCTTGGACTTCCAGTACCCCCCCATCCCCACTCCACCTTGCTGGTTTGCATCCTCTCTTTGGGGCATTTCCTCCAGTGGCAGCTATACAGGCAGTGGAGGCAGCGGGCCCAGACGGAGCAGCAGCCGGGGGACTCGGCCATGGTGAGGGCCTGGGAGAAGGGACACTCAGCCATCAGGCACCCTGGCAGAAGACGGACCCCAGCCTCCCTCCCAGGGCATCTCAGGAGCTTCGGGGGAGGAGCAGAGGCCTGGGCCGCTGCTCAGCAACGGGAGGGAGGTCATGGGGCTGCCCGAAGTGCCAGATTGGACGAGGACGTGAGCCGGGGCGGGGGATAATCTCTGGGGTCTTTCTTTCCCTTGAACCCGGATACCTGGAAAGTCAGTGGGACACCCAGGAGATCCAGCCTCTTTGCAGGCAGGATGCATACCCACCCTCCCCAACTCCTCCCCATTTAACAGCATCCATCCAGCTCTGGGGATATCGCGCTCGCCCAAGGGTGGGGACCCGGGAGAAAGTGCCCAGGGTGGGGCAAGTTCAGTTCGGCAAGTTGAGGCAGATCTGGCCAAGCTTCAGGCAGCCTCATGGTGGGGAGCCTTCCACCCCAGGAACCGAGAGTAACCTGAAGCAGAGGTTCTAGTTCTGACCTGGGGCTAAGGAAGGCCCGGCTAGTTGGTCAGTTGCTATGGATACAGAGATTGCACACACCACAAAGCCCTGACTAAAAGATTCTCAGTCTCCACCTCCCAAGGGGCAGGGGGCACTGTCAGTAAGAGGAAGACTGGAGGGAAAGAGGCTCCTGGGTCACCTCCCAGCCTTCCAAAGGGGCCCTTTTCCTGCCCGCACACACCTGGAAAATCCAAGCCCTTTCGCCCCAGTCGTGTCCCTTCCTGCCCAGTCACCCCCCGCCACCCCAACCAGGAACCCAGTCTCCACCTTCTCCCTTTTAGGGGCCCCACCCTCTGAGCTCGCTTGGGTGAAAGTACAACAAATATCGGTCAAAGGTGTGTGTGTGTGTGTGTGTGTGTGTATGCGTGTGTGTGGCGGGAGGTGTGGTTGCGTTGGGGCCGGGGAGTGTTAGACCTTGGGCTTTCGGGTCACACTGAGACCCAGCAGGCTTACGGATGCCCGAACTAGGCTGGGTGTTCGTCCTTCTACCTGAGAGGGTGTGTGATTTGTGTCAGCCTTCGTATGCGAGCGCGCGCTAGTGGCTGTCGGCGCTAATGGGTTTCTAGAGGACTTGGCGTGTGTAGAGGAGCCCCTGGATACACCCAAAGTGTGTGTGGTCTGAGGGACACGAGCCCTTGTCATCTGGGCTCCCTAAGGCTGTGGAGTCTTGGAGGGGGACACAGTGGCCGGACCCCTGAAAGGAGGGAGGGTGTGGCTGCCCCTGAAACTGCCCTCCTTACCCCACCGGGGCCTTGGGAAAGGAGGATTAGGGTAGGGAGTGGAGGGGTGAGGGGGCTGTAGCTGGGGGAAGGAAAACTCTCCCTTATCTGAGACCCCTCCCAGGAAAAAAAAAAAAGAAACATCCTAAAGGGAGGCCCCTGCTTCTTCCCATCCCGGACTGGCTCCTAGTAGCGGGCCCTGGGCTCCATCCACACTTCCTGCCTCCCTGCAGGTCCTGCCCCTGTATCCCAGACGCGGTCTTCCAGAGTCCCACCTCCCTCCAGGAGCTGTCTGTAGGCTGGGGTCAGGATCCAAGCCGTCTGAAAACCCCAATCAGGGGAGCTGAGCAGGGGTGCTCCTCCATCCCCGGGCCCGGTTGGAGCCGGTCTCCACACCCCTCCCCATTCCCGCCTGTCACCCCCAGCCTTCCCCAGCCTTCACACCTTGTCTCAGCGGCAGCTCTGCTCAGCTCTGCGCTCTGCTCTGCACTGCACTGCTTCCCAGCTCCTCTCCGAGTTTGTCTGCCTCCTCCCTCTTCTAGTCCTTGGCTCAGCCCCACCGGTCAAACAGGTGGCACTGTTGCCACCTACAGGAGGCTGTGTGGCTTATGTCCGAAGGGCTTAAGCCTGCTCTATGGCCAGTGCCCAGCCCTGGGGGTGGGGGGGTGGGAAGGGGGAGGGAGAGCAGATCTGCTTCTTTACTCGCTGCCGGTCAGGGGGCTTGGCGTGAGGAATTCCTTCTCCTTTGTGCGGCCCTCCCCATCCCTCTTGTCCCTCCTCCTGTTCCCCTCTCAGTCACTGCCGGGGCTTTGTCCCGGGCTCAGGGAGGCGAGGGCCGAGGGCACTGGCGGGCGGGAAGCTGGGGGGAGGTGACCACACAACTCTGCAACTTGGCAGTGAGAAGAAGGGGCCCAGCCAACCCCCTGGGAAGAAGGGGTGTGTGTGTGTGTGTGTGAGAGAGAGAGGAGAGAGAGAGAGAGAGAGAGAGAGAGCGCGCCTAGCATTTCCCTGAAGCTCCCTGGGAGGATGGCCTTGATTCATCAGCCTCCTTTTCCTCCTGGGAGCCTACTTCCACTTCTATAAAGTGCATCGAAAACTCTATACAGGGTTGCAAGCTACTTCCTGAACTCTGGGCAGCAGGTCGCCCTGTTTCTGGACCCGGGGTCCCCATGGGCTTTGTGAATCTCGGGTGACACTAGCAGCCTTCCCCTTCCCCCCATCACCCCAGACAGGAGATGATCATTCAGGATGTAGCGAGATGTGTGTCATTCCTGCGGTCTTGTCCCCAAGGTATCTAGAGTCTCTTTCCAGGAATCATCTGAAGAGTGGAGTGTTAGGGTCACAAGCTTTTGGAAGACGAACACGTGCAAAAGATGCTGTTACTATACATACCATCCACAGGAGAAGGCTGGCTATCATGCTATAGTCAGCTTAGTGCTAAAGCATAGGGCTCTCTCTGGGTGGGATGAGGGTTTGCGGGGGGGTGCTGCTGGCTTGACTGACCTCCCCTCTCTACCCTTTGGCTGATGCAATGGCTCAAAGCCTGGGAGGCTTCCACAGCGTTGGTGGGAAAAAACATCTTCTTTGGGAATAAACTCGCTTACCCCTCCCCCAACACGTACTGGATTTGGAACAGTGAGAAGGAAGACTGGCTCTCTTCTGCCAAGAGCTGGCCCCCCTCCCTCTGCCTTCCCATTGTATCCAGGGGCTCTAGTTGGCGACGGCAAGAGGCTCCCTTGCTCCCTTGTCATTAAAATGCAAAGAGAAGCAGGGCTGCTTGCTGGCGGGAGGCCAGGGAGGGCTGCCCGGCCACCTAGTCCTCCTGCAGGCTTCATTTTAGACAGGTTGTCCATCAGTTTCCTTCTCTTGGGGTCTGGTGGATTCTAGAGGAGTCCTGGATTTTGTGGACCCGGTGCTGGGGGGTTGCTCTGGGAGCTTTCAGTCAGGTGGGGGGAGGGGACTGGGATTCAGAATGCAGGGAGAGTTAGCCCTGGGCTCCCAAGCTCCTCAAATGGCTGCGAGGCCAGTCAGCAGTCTGTTTGGCAGGCCGGGGCTGGCCTCATTTTTTAGCTTTAAGCAGAGCTGGGGAACCCTGATGCATAGTAAGGAGTAAACAACACCCCCCCCTCCCCTTTCAAAGGAGACAGCAGGCAGCCAGGACTGTGCTGTCCTGGGACTGGGCAGCAGTGTGGTCCCACCGGGGCTAAGCCAAGAAATCGGGCTGCAGGGCATTTAGAACAGCTACCAATGCCACCCCGGAGTCACACAAGAAGCTTCGGTGTAAGCCAGCCCTGGGTTGGGTGCTTGCACTGATTCTCCTCGAGAGCCTTCCCAGGGGCTGAGGAACACAGGCATATTTCTGCTTCTGGCACAGAGGGCCTTTCCAAACAGTAGCTAGACTAAGATTTATTTATTTACTTAATATTAACATTTTAAAAGATTTCATTTACCTCAGCAACATGGAAGACAATTGAGGGCACTGTTTAAAACACTTAAGATCCAGAGATGGTCAGGGCAGGAAATATCCCAATATCACCTCCATTCCTGATGGGGAATGAAGGATTGGTGCCAGGCCTCCAACCTTGGCCAGGCTCTGCCATTAAGCTGAGACAACCTAGAGGTAAGACAGCCCTCAGCCTCATCCCCATCGGGGAGGTGGGGGGCAGGCAGCCTTACCTGCTCACAACTAAGAAAGAGCTAGATTGTACTGAGGTTTGGCTCCTGATGAGTCATCAAGAAGGTCAGTTGGTTCTTTCTTCAGCAGGTGGCTTAGCACCTTTCTGGAGAAGACAGAGTAGTAGTCTGGGGCTAGGGGGCTGGAGAGTAAGGGCCAACATCCAACAAAGATTTCCTCCCTTGTGGTAACATGCTGTCCCCCCTTTGTTTTTTTCCAACAGCAAGAACCCTGAAATCTAGAGGAGTCATTAAAGAAACTCCTTCTGGCTGCAACCTGAAAGCATCTCCGAAGCCAGACAGGGGAGAGATGATAAGTCCAACTTCAGTGGGCTTCTTCTTCAATAGGGGAGCAGCCGGAGAAGAAGCTGGTATTGCTGGCCAGAGCTCGTTTCTTTTTCTTCCCTGGAGCTTTATTTTCTTGGGATTCTGTTGCTCCGTGTTTCAATTCTGTGAGGCCAAGGGAGGAGGCAGCTGGGTTTGTCTTCTTTAACAGCACCTGCTCCACATCACACATCTCTTTCAGGATCTAGGAAGGGCAGAGACAGGTATGAAGAGATCTTGGGTCGGGGCAGAGGTTCTGCCCAGCCTTGCCGCTACAACTGCTCAGCACGTTGTAGTATGAGGTATCCCCCAAGATTGGTCTCTTGGAAAAAAAAAAAAAAGACTCTGGCCTATGCCTGATTCCCACCTCCCAGCAAGCTAATTATACCTCTACCCCCTTTCCTCCCACCACACTCTGTCACAGCTAATGCAGAGATGAATGCTAAGACAGTCGGAAATGCCGGTCTTTAGCCCACCTACCTTGCTGTTGGGAGTGGCACAGACAGGGTTAAAGAAGCTCAATCCTGGGGTAACCTCTGTGGGATCCTCCAGTTTGAAAGAGCCTTCGGAATCCTGGGTCCGCTCAACAGTGCCCAGGCCATCCTGAGAATCAGACAGGCATATTAGAAGTTCAGCTACGGAGGTTACAAAAATCAGTCTGCTCCCCTTTCACCAGTGAGGTACCAGCTCTGAGGCCCTCATCGGTCAGTCGAAGTAAGTCTCAGGGAGACCCTGCTTGCGGTTTCTTGCCGTTGCA